TCAGACTTGTCCGGCCATTTCTGACCCTTTTCTATGGGTCCTTGCCAGAAGGTGCTTTGGGCTTGTGGCGGGCTTTCAGGCCTTGCTATGGACCAATCCCTTTGGGGTTGACTTTTGCCTATGAGGGAATGGGTAACTTCAGGTGTTTGATTTAGACATTATATTCTTTGTCTTTGTATGGTATATTCACTGTATTAAAATTCCATTTCATTAAAGTCTTATCTGTTTTGTCTTGATGTGGCGGACAGCAGAACCTATTTGGATCAGGCAAGTTTGGGGGTTCAGTGGTGCCCCCTCTCCTTGCCCTGTAATAGAGGCAGGCAATGAACAATGGCCATAATGAATAAATAAATAAATAAATAAATAAATACCTTGTTAGAAGGTACTGAGTGATATTTTAAATTCTTCTGTAGATGATGATAGTGACAATGCCAACAGAGTCAGTTTTCATGCAGAACTTCTTGTGTTCTAAATATTTTCTATTATTCATGAACTATTTACATAATCCTTACATCACACTTAGAAATTTTTCCAAGACAGCTACTCTTTTTATTTGTATTTCACAGATAAGGAAGTTAAGGCACAGGAATATTAGTGTGTCCAAGCTTACAGTGCAGGTAAATGGTAGAGTTGGGGTTGCCTAGAGAATAAACTTTTAGGTGAAAATAACGTGTCCTGCCTTTAAGAGTTACCAAAGCCATGTTTTCAGAATAGCCCAAGCCCCTCTGCATGAATGTAAGTCAGGAGCAGGTTTTTGAATCTTTATGCAACATTAACTGGGGGAAAAGAAACAAGAAAATTGAAGTGTAGAATCAAGGGGAACAGGCTGTGGGTCCAATAAAGAGAAAAAAATACATGCTCTGCTTTTGCAAGAGTAGATTTCGAGATTGTTTCTATTCCTTCCTCCTTTCCACAGGCAACACCTTTTGGCTACCTCCTCTACAGGAACGGATATTGTCAACAAAAATGGAAGAAGAGATAGAAAGCTGAGCTTGCTTGGGAACAGCTCTGTCAAGAATTTACAAGAAGTCTCTTCTTGAGACTCACTGCTGTAACTAGCAGAGTGAAGATAAAACCGGCATTGGACTTCATTATTATGATGGTTGATCTGCAAAGTATCTGGAATTTCACGCTAGCTACACCAATAACTACAACCTCCTTGAAATGCATTTTAGTTGGGATCAATCCTATCATGTACTATGTCTTGGGGGGTTATCACAATTTTCAGAATTTTTCTAGGTATATTGGTCAACTCCATATCAAAATCCGGCCAGAGGAAGCTGACTTTCTGGGAACACATCCCCAGGTTGAGGGGTGAAGGGGGTTCTGGCCAAACTACTGAATTTTGCTGATGGGCAAATTCTCCATTAGGGCTTCTGCTTCCATTATGATACCTCTGCCTACTCAGAGGGCTGACCATGGCACTCTGTGTTCACACTGCCCCATAGACTGGAGTCCCCTGCTCTGTGCCTCTCTTAACCAAGAGGTCCACCCCTTAGGCCATTTTTCTATATCTTCTCCAAAGATCAGTGCTTGTCCTAGGGATATTCCTCTCAAAAACCTTTACATACCCACTTAGGCTGAGTCACTGATCAGCAGTAAGCTTAGCATTTTTATCTCTCAAGCCCATTTGATTCTCCCCACCCACCTTAGCCTTAGTAGGAGATATGAATCCAAAAGGAAACATCCTTTTATGTTAGAATCTTGGGCATCTGGGAAGGGCATGCTGCTTAGAATTCTCTGACTTTGGTCTCATTTCACAAATAGGGGCTTTTGTACCAGTAGTTGTGTCTGCTTGGAATATCCTTTCACCCCAACTTTCCTCATAGTCCATGACCACTTCCACTTAAAAGATTTCCTTGCTCTCTAGACCAGTGTTAACACAGGAGTCACCACTTACACAAAAATGCCGAACATCTGAAATGTGGCTCCTCCAAAGTAAGATGAGTTAAAGCACATGGAATATATTTGTAAGACTTAGTATAAACATGTTAAACATTACAAATTTTTGTGAGTGAAGTCTGCATCGTGGTGGCAGAAAGTGTTTGCTCTCTTTGTGCCCTTTAACCTACAAGTAATAGATCAACTATTGACCCTTACACAAGGATACCAGAAAGAGCCATACATTGGTGTGACCAAAGTTGGGTGGACTAGATCTCATGGAGGTGGTAGGGTCAAAGGAGGCAGAGGCAGCTCAGCCATTGGCCTGACTAAAGACCCCCATGAGCAAAGGCCAAAAACAGAGGCCTAAGCCTCCAACCCAGTGAATGCCAAGACAGCAGAGGTGAGCCATGCCATCTGGGCCAGGAGCCAGAGAGTAAGGCAGAGAGGGCATGACCATAGCGCCCAGCATCGTCTCACTGCATTGGTACCTGTGCGCCTAACTGTACCAACGGTCCAGGTTTAGGCCTGGGATCCCGAGGATGGGGGCCCACAATAGGGCTGGGTGACAGGCTTCCCACCGCACATCCATGGCAGTGGCTAAGCCCTCCCTCCACACCTAGCAGCTAACACCCGACTGTGGTAAAGCATGGTAACTGTGTCCATGGGTGCGCAGCTGGATGCACACAGCTATGCTGAAAGCAGAAACAGGAGTCAGCCCAGAGAAGGCCTTGAAGCAAACCTAAACAAACGGGATAATGTCAAACTATACATTTTTTTGCATCGCAAAAGAAACCATGGAATGTAAAGGTAACCCACTGAATGGAAGGGTATTTAAAAAGCAGACATCTAGTAAAGGGTTAATATCCAAACTATGTAAAGAATAGAAGTAGCATATGATCCAGTTATTCTGCTTTTGGGTATTTGTCCGAAGAATGCAAAAATGCTAATCTGCGGCAGTATATGCAAACTGTGTTCATTGCAGCACTATTACTGATGGTCAAGATTTGGAAAAAACCTAAATGTCTATCCATGGATGTATGGATAAGGATATATTAAGAAAGAATACTACCCAGCTATGTAAAAACCAAAGTCTTGAGAATATAATATAAAGTGAAATAAGTCACATAGAGATACTGTATGATTTCACTCGTGGAAGATAAAACAAATGAACAACAACAACAACAACAAAAAACCCAAAACAAACTCTCAGTACACTAGAGAAATGGTGGTTACCAAAACCAAGTCGGGGTAAATGGGGAAAAGGGGTCAGTTAAGTGATGCAGGATAGAAACTAGACTTTCAGTGTATACATATTGGGTCTGTGCCAAGTTCCAGTGTTGTACACCTGAAACCTAATAATGTTAATTCAATAGACATTTAAAAGCACACAAATAAAATCTTGTTCATTTTCATGTTGATTAAACACTTTAACAATGGGTTGTCTATATTTGGTTAAGGAAAATATATTATAAAAATCAATTTCATGTTTCTTTGCACTTCATTGTAATGTGGCTATTGGAAAACTAAGTGACATGCAGGAGCTTCCATGAACTCTCTGGAGTCTAGCAAGTGGTTCTGATTATTTAAAAAATTATTTTTATTTATGTATACACACAAGAACTGGGGTGTAGGCCAGAGAAGCAGGGGGTGAGAGGATTTATCAGAGACATAATAGGGAGCAGAACAGGCAGATGTGCTGAAATACACTGCTGAGGCAGCAGGAGAGACAGGAGAGGCCTGCTGTGCCATATGTGGGTCAGCTTCCTGGCTGGGGATCGAACTCATGCCATGGTGGTTGGAGATAGCTTGACAGTGCTAGACTTTGACCTCTGTGCCACCAGGGAGCCCCTAGCCAATGATTTTGAAATCACAAAAGGCGTGGGGGAGTCTGTTGACTTATGAGTGTGTATCTGAGTAGCATTTTGTAGTGGAATAACCTATGTGTCTCAGGTATATCACTAACACACTGCAGATAATCGGTGAAAAGAATGATAGATTAAGTCTGTAATCCAAGCAATATCAATCCATTTCCTCTTCCCCACTCCTAAGCCTGGGGACAAAGGAAAGAGTGTGATGGTCCATGTGGAGACTTGCAGTTGGCCGGTCGCTGGACTGACCAGACAAAAATGGAATATGCTGCATGGAGACACAGGCAACTGTGAGAAAATCACAGAAGGAAGGAAGCCGATATTTGCTGCCATACATCATCAGCATTTCCTGAAATGTGCCCCATGGAAGCACCGTCTCCGAGAGGTTTGTAAAGGTTGTGTTGGGGGTGGGAAGGGAAGGAAGTTCCGTGGCCAGATCAGATTGGAAAATGCTATATGAAATGTGAACCCGTGCTCTTTGCTGTAGGACTTTTCAGAGTTTTAAATATGCTCTCCAACACTATGGACAACTCAAAAGGGAAAACGGGTTCAGTGTTTCCTAATTTATTTGATCCAGATGAGAAACACCGGTCAGCATCTCAACATTTATTGATTGGTCAAATTTGTTGGAGAAAGTGTTATTTCATCTGCATTTTATAGGGAGGAAACTGTGGATTAGGAAGTGTTGTGATTTGCTCAGCATTTCAGTCTTGCATTAATTGGCTCATGGTTGAGACTGGACTCCAAATTCATGTTTATGCCAGAGGAGGGAATTTAAACATGGCCAGAACAGGCAAATATTAACACTGAACTATAGGAATCACAAGGATTTAGTCCTTTGTCTCTCGGGAGTCCACACACAACACCTCTGACTTCAGACTCTGCTCCCTGTTTGCTCTCCCCAGCTGAAAGTAGTCTCCCTTTTGGAATTTTCCAATATTCCTCATTTAGATCTTGGCACACATTGTTTATTGTTCATTTTATATGTATCTATCTTATCTCTCCAAGTGGATTGAACTGGCTGTAATATTACTTTGGATTACTCACAGTGCACACTTCATTCAATGGGGCTTGAAAGACCCTTCTGAGCTTTAATTACCGACCTGTCCAGCTTGGCTATTGTTAGTTTGGGGTGTCTTTTTACAATCTCTAAATGCTACAGAATGTTGGTTCTTGGCTCAGAAACACCACCCGTTCACATCAACTGCCAAACCTTTATCGAATAGCGTGAAGCCGAGCATGACATACCTGTAAAATGCAACTCATGATATCAGATGCAATTTTTGCATGAGGAGTGTCCTCTTCTCTCCCAGAGACTCTGAGGTTCTGTTCCAGGCAGGAGTCCCAGAGCCCCACCAAGGCGTTTGCGTGCTTCTCAATAGACTCTGTCTCTCTGATGGCTGTTGTGATTCTTGTAATACAGATTTCAACCACTGCCTGGTCATTGTTATTGGTTTGGTAATCCTATATGGAAAACAAAAGTCATGAAATTAATACTCTGGAAAGTTCTCCTTCAAAGGAATAACAAAGTACTGTCATTTAGCAAATGGGTGTGCTGCATTGGGTGCTGTGGAGTGAAGCTGGAAAGCCAAATATAATAAGGGCTTCTGCCTTGGAGATCAGAATCTTGTGGTCCAGGCAGGTATGCAAACATGCTGAAACGGAGCAGGGGCCTGCTGTACCTGACACAGAGGAGCAGGGAGAGTCCAAAGGAGCTTAATCATTCACTTAAAAGTGGGTTTAATCTTCAGGCTTCTTCAGTTTCTAAGTCCATTACAGGTCAGGGTTTCCTTTTTCCTCTGCCTTCTCTGTTTTATCATTTCCCTTCAAACACTTTCTCTCTCCTTCCTTTTGCAATTCTTTCCTCAATCACATGCTTCCCCCACCCCCATTTTTCTAGTCAAATTCTTGCTCTAACAACTAATTTTCTTTATTGAGAGAGAGACTATGAACCCTCTACACATCTGACTGGGAAAAACAGACATCACCTTAATTGGAAAGTTGGTCTGACTTGTGAAGACTGAAAAACTGAAGGAATACTAGATTAGAGAAGGATTTGAGGCCTCACTCCACCTTGTGCTTACCATGTGACAGGAAGTGAGGGGGCTTTTCTGTCCAGCTGCGAAGTCTAGCTCCATCCATCCTTTTCTATTTTTACTGTTACAACTAATGCTTTTGAGATCTGTTACACGTGAAGCCTTCTCCACACTGTAGATTATTTATAGCCTAGATTCTCCAAAGTGGAAATTGCTGAGACAAAGAATAGGGACATTCCTAAGGCTCATGATACATACTGCCAAACTATTTTTCAGAAAGGTCTACTGATTTATACAACCATGAATTGGGTGAAACCATGGCTGGCCATTGAACTTTTTGCAAAAATGGAGTATTTTTCATTTTTGCTAATTCAATCATTAAAAACTGTGTTCTATTATCATTTTTTCTTGTATTTCTTTCACCAGAAATAAATTGAATATTTTCATGTGTTTACCAACTGGGTCTTATGTCTATTATTTCTTAGATGACTTTGTGTTTATTTGTATTTTGGGTCCTTCTTTGCTCTAAAAACCTTTTCTATTAAAGATATTTTACTCCTAGGAATCTACCCAAAGGACACAAAACCATTAATTCAAAAGGATACCTGCACCCTTATGTTTACTGCAGCACTATTGACAATAGGTAAGATATGGAAATAACCCAAATGCCCCAAAATAGATGTTTGGATCAAGAAGATGTGGTATATATACACATAGTGGAATACTATTCAGCAATAAAAAGATAAATGCATGTCATTCACAGCAAATGGTCAAAGCAATTTCTAAGTCCACTACAGGACAGCATTTATTTACTTTTTTCTCTGCCTTCTCTGTTTTATGATTCCCCATTCATATGCTTCTTTTCTCCTTCCTTATGCAACAGAATCCCTCCTTTCAATTCAATATGTACCAAATGGAGCTATAAGAGATTATGATCAGTGAAATAAGCCAGAAGAAAAAAATATATATCAGATGTTTTCATTTATAGGAGGAATATAGGGGAATCAAATAAGGATCAGAAAAAAATAATAAAGAAAAATAAAATTAGCTACCAATTATAAATCAGAAAGATTTTGTGAGAGAGGGGGGGAAGAGGCATCAGTGAGAGAGAAGAGCACAAGGGACTATGGTGATGTTCACAAGTGAATTGGTGAGAATTCTACAAGGAATACACTTAAAAAGAGAGAGCATACAAACATACATTGTACAAAAATAAACAATGATGTAAAGTATATATATATATAGTATATATATATATACACACACACGCACACAAAGATATGACGTCAAAATTTGACATGCTGTTTGCAAATATTTATTCATATTTCATTATTATTACAGTTTTTTTACTAGTAGATATAGCTATGTTATGTTTTTAGATGGCCATATCTGCAGATATCTGGAATTTCTTTATTTTTTTCTTATTTTAATTGGATAAGTTAAGTTGTTAAATTACATTTTTGAAAAAAGCAATTTATATACATGGTACAAAAATTCAAAAGATGCTCCCAAAATATACTTTATAGTGCAATGTTGGCTTCTCACCCAGGCCCCTCCCCCAGAAAAACATGCTCACCAGCTTCTCAAGAATTTCAGAGGTTCTTGAACCACCTGTCAGTATTCATTGATATATACTCACTTCTGTCTCTGTGATTCCTTAAACAGATTTTTTTTTAACTTCAAATGTTCCTTATTCAAAGATTCAATAGAAACTCACCTACACTTTTTCAGGAGGGCCCTCAAAATTAAAATTTTTTGACAAAACATTTACCTTCAGTATTTTAGAAATTATTTTTTTAAAACTGTTCATTGTAGCTCTTAAATCTGTCTGGTACTTACAGAAGTAAAAGAGGCATACATTCTGAATAACTACACTAATTTTCCTATAATTTGTGTCAACAACTCATTTCCAGTAATGGCTTTATATATGTCAGACTCTATTCTTGAGCTGTCTTTTTGATTTTTCAACTCTTTTATAGAGCTATTTTTGCCTTTTTTTTTTCAAATAAACTGCACAGAATTTCAAAGGTATTTTCCCAGTGTACTTTATGTCTTTGGTATTGCTGTTAAGAAAATCTTTGTTTTTTAATTCACTGGAGCTTTTAATTAACTATTGCTAATTAATCAACTTACAGCTGTGATGTGTTTATTTTGTATCCAGGTGTGTTGCTTAATGTTTCTTAACTATGATATTTTTACATCCTTCTCTTGAGTTTTCTAGAAAGATTTTTGTGTTGCATCTATACCATATATATGTGTATATGTATATTTGTGTGGGTATGTATATCTGTCATGATTTGTTTTATCTATTGGCATTTCCTGTTATTTTACATAAAAGTAAGAAGAGCAAGAAAGCTAATTTAGTTTCTTATTTTAATTCCTGATTTTAGCTATAAAATTTTATGGTCAAAATCACAAAATATGACAAGTACTTTAAATCATATAGGATATACCCCTCTCTTCCTATTTTCAAGTTCATATGATGTTTTAACTTTTCTTTACATGCCTTCTCAGTACTTGTGGAGATAACCTAGCAAGTTTTTCTTAGTCAATTAATGGATGTGAAGTATTCCATCATGGTATAGAACGAAATTTCCAGATATGAATCTATCTCTGCATTTGGAGAATGTTGGTACTTTTAATATATTTTATTTTAATTTCCTCTTTTGTTGGTGACTATATCATGTCTTTTAATGTTTCAGATTTATTACTAGTGCCAGAACAAAGTACTATGATGCAGCAATTGGGATTTTCTGGAGCAACATTGTAGAGAAAAAGCAGAACATGAAAGAGAAAGAAAAAAAAATGTCAACTTTTTCAAAAACCTCTGCAGCTAGAGAAAAGCCAGAACAATTCTTAAAAGAGAAAAATAATACAGAATCCTCTTGGGCTAAACAGCATCTCCAGCCACAACTGCTCTTGTTAATTGCAGCTACTTATACTGGCACCATCTTTAAATCCAAAGTCACATCATACCGGTTATTGTTATTATTGCCACTGGCAGAAGGAAGTCTGATCCCAATTGTAAAGGCTAAGATGGTTTGTGTAATTGAAACAATCCTGTTCCATTAGACTCCAGACACTCGCAAAGAAGGTAATGGTGAACACGTATGCCCCGTAGCTATTCAGCAAATGTTCATTGGTTACTCCTCAAAGAAAGATATTTTGGGGGGCATTAAATTTTCAAAATCTTGAAATCTTAGTAAATTTTAATTTAAAATTCCATTTTAAAAATAGGAAATACATTAAAAAGTTTTCCTCTCCCCTTGTTCATTAGGTTACCACAAAGTAAAATTATCACTTTTTTGTGGATTTCCAGAAATTGTTCAAACACAGTCAAGCAAACATATGTATCTACATGTAGATATACATGATACACACACACACAGATGTGCATACACAGCATTTCCCTTCCTGACTTTACATACACTGGTAACATAACAGAAATACCATTCTGCAGCTTTTTTTTTTTAAGTTCACATTGAATCTTAGAGGCCTTGCCGAATAGTATATACTGTGAGGGTGGACCACAGCATAATTAAAACCCCTTCTTGGTGAACAGTGGAAAGTACCTACTTTCCAATCTTTGTGGTTACAAAAAATTCTGCAACAATGAACCTCTTATTCAAAATATTCCACATGTAAAGGGGCATTTGGCCCTTTTGTTTTAGAACAAATTCCTAGAAATGGAAATTTTTAATATCTGTAGGTCAGTCTTCCTTTATTAGTTATTTTTCCGCTTTAGGTGTTTTTCCTGATTGCTGTTACCACTATTGCTGCTACAGCTACTACTTAAAGCATCGCACCTCCACACTACAGGGTTATGAAATCATTTTTTTTTTCTAGTTTCAAAAGAGACTTCTGATGATTCTTTTGTTGAAATATTTTAATTAACACAGGTAATGCTGATCTATTTGTGATACTGAATTTCCTAGGCAAGGACATCAGTCACAGGCCACCATTTTATGTCCCTCAGAAAGATTTTAGTCTAGAACATGCACATTTTTTTTTCATGTAGATTTTTTGCATATCTAGGCATTCAATTTTCTTGTTGGCATTCTTAATTGGCTCTTTTGCCCACTATTTCTATGTTGTGGTTGCTATATGAAATCTACCAATTTGGTAAGTGTGTTAGTATTTCTAGATTTTATCAGCATTCTGATTTATACATTTTAATTTATACTTCTAGATTTTACACTTGGATGGCATCAGTTTTGTGACATTGTCAGCTTATGACAGCAAGTTTCCAGACCAGAGACTGGAAATGGGAGGTGGACTGATCTTTCCTTACCACTGGCCCCTTCTTTGTCATGGAAAAATGTAAGGTCTCAGGATGCTTGTCTAGGATAGAGAGCAGAGATAAGACCTGATGCCTTCTTCATACCTTTAAAGTTTTTCTTATAGAAATAGAGGTCAGTCTCTTTTGATTGCTAGGGCAAAGAACAGGACAAAGAACATAGATAGAAAATACAAAGAGTAAGATTTCATGTAGCCATAAGGACAGACAGATTGTAATGCAGAAAGGCAATTCTATCTTTTTCGAAAGAAGTAATCTCTAAGAACTAGAATTATTTCAGTAGTAGTGAAACTTGAGCTGGCTTTTAAAGGAATGAAAAGAGAGAGGAATTCCACACACATGCTTATAACTAGGATTGAGTAGCAAATTTAAAAATTGGACTGATCCTTATTGGTCCTTGAAAAACAGCTTCTGTTCTTTCTGCCCACCCATCTGCTCCATGCCACTTACAGCTGGACTAATGGAAGGAATGAAATGTGATAGAAGTTAGCAGATGAAAAACACAGAACTACTTACTCTCCAGGCCTGCTAGTTAGATGAAATGCTACTTGGGGAGACTTACAGAGGGATGATGTTCCTGATGAAAATCCTTAGTGTTTAGAAGTTGGGGGACACAACAGAATTCAGCAGTTCTAAGTCTAAATTTGACATCTGTGACATAAGCAATTGATGCAGGAAACAAAAGAATTCACTGACACTAGTGACCTCTAGTGGAATCAGGCTTCACCTATCTGTGGAGGAACATATGTGTGATAGACATCTTCCATACACTATACATTCCATTAGGTTAGATGAAAATCAGTGCCATATTCAGCTAATTTATATCCACAGGAGTATGATGGAAGGGACTGCTGAAATAGCGCACCCATCCTACACAGAAAGTAGAAATGTGCCAGGAATATTTTGTGCTTTGAATAGGACTTAGCTGATTGATGTTCTGGGAAAAAGAGTGGCCACATAATTGCTGGCAGAGACATTGCTTGAGAAAAGAAGAGTGTTTAGGCAGTCACTTTGCTGGTCACTGGGGGCACTGGCATGTTAATATTAGGCAGTTGGCAGGAGAACAAGCTGCCAGCTTGAGGAGGAAGCAGGCTGGGTGCTGGTATGCCAATTATACCTCTTTTCATTACAACGTGGAAGAAAGCTGTGATCTGTGAAATGTGTACACATTTGGTGACTCAGTACTTTATGTCTCTTTCCTCTGCCCAGTTGGTATTTGTGCCAAGTGTTGGCGAATGCTGTTGAACCGAGGGGGACATGAGAGCATGCTGGGGGACCTTAGCCTCTGAAATGGGACCTGTCTCCTGGAGATTTCAAGGGGGGCCAGAAGGCCCAGAGGGAAGCAGGCTGGGCATTTCCCATCCACCCCATTAGGGAAGCACTTTCCAAATACGCATCTTGACAATGAGGAGAAATAGAGGAGTAAGAGAGCTGATGGTGACTTTAAATGTGTCTGTCAGACTGGGGGCTGATAGTGGGTTACATGGATAAAAAAGGGATGTTAGTAAAAGGATCCAGGGAGAGATTTAAAGGAAAACAAGACAGCCAGACAATATGGAAGCAAACAGAATCAGGGTTACCAAGTCCTAGGTAACTGTCACTTTGGGCAGCAGTGTGTTCTCTGCTCTGGTCTCACATTACCCTCGAAGCAGGAGGTGGCCTCATGGCTCCTTTCATTATTCAGTCCCTGCTGCACACCTGTTTTGTTCACTGATGCTATTGTACCACTTGGATAGTCTGCTTTTCCATGGATTTGCTTCCTTTCTCCTCCATGTCATTTTAAAGATGTAGAAACAGCCCATCAGGTCTATAACTTCCAGACTTCTAGAAGTGGACAAAAGTCTGCCTCCCAAGTCAATGACTTTCCTCGTTCTGCAATACTAAATAAACCATAAAGCAGAGTCTACAAAGCTGGATATGTTCCTACCGCTTCCCTCTTTTGAGATGCTTCCCCTGCAGAGAGAGTCATTTGATAGAGAACAGGTCATTTCAGGTGTGTAGCTGGAGAACTAGTTTACTTACAGAAGATGAGCTAATTATTTTAATTTGCTCCAAAGCTTCTGTCAGACTGTCTTCAATCTCAGCGTCATCTAAGGAAAAGAGGTCACCGGCTCTTGAAAGATCTTTTTGTCCCAAAACCAGTCTGAACAGCTGATGCATGATGACGTGGTTGATAATCAGTCCACTTTCTAGAGGTCGGAGGCCATGCCTTTCCACGCTCAGGGGTCAGCAGGGCAGAAATATGCAGCAGAGGGTATATGACATCCTCCTCGAAAGGTCATTTTTCTCCACAAGTCTTCCCTGACACCCTCTACAAGAGAAACAGGTGACACAATGTAGTGATGTGTGGAAGGCCAGAGTTCAGACTAGAAAGTGGGTGCCCAGCAGAGAGAACAGTCATTTGGAAATGGCCATAGTGGATAGGTCCAGCTTGAGGAACCCATGACCTCTTTCCTCATTGCTGTCTCAAAATGCCTGTCAGAAGTTACTAGATTTCTCCAGAATTTAATCTGAACTTTAATAAGCAGCTGACACTCCACATTTGTTTTCCATGGGCTTTCCCTTTTCTACATCCTTCTGTCCCCACCCCAAGAAAACAAGTGGCCAAGCAGCCAGTGTGCACAATACTTGCTAGATTTTTCCCCAAACAGACCCCCATGGAGCTCAGACAGGGAAGGGGAATGAAAAGAACGTGAGAACACGGGAAGCAGCTTGTAGGCCTGGTTTCCGCTTTTCTCCTGCACGTGGACACCTGGGCTTATCTTCCTGGCTACATTCTTTGCTATGTTGACTACAGAAGCTCACCTGGAGTTCAGGCTCAGAGGTGGTCTCAGTATTTGCCTGTTCTTAGGTGCTCCCTAAACAGGTGGCAGAGTAAAGGGCTCCTCCCTGAGTGTGGGGCTCAAGCTACCCCTCCCGACTGTGAGCAAGACCTTAAGCACTGCACATGATGGGGATGGCAGAACAATGTAGCTAGAAAGGAGGGCTTTGGGATCAGGCAATCCCTCCTCTCTTGCCACAGTTGAAATAATAAAATCCCACATCTTAATTAATAGCCTACAGAGAATGATGGCACAAATTAAATATCTGATTATTCTTATCAGCTCCCTAATAATGGGCCTAATGGGTCTAATAAAATCACAGCCCATTTGCATTGCAGAGACCTCACGATCACTTCTTGGCCAAGAAGGTTTGATGACGGACGGTCCCAGGCCTTATGGCAACTGTGGCTGCAGTTCTGGCTTCGGGCCTATTGGCTTCCCCTGTGGCTGCCAGTGGAGTGCACTCACCTTATACAAAAGCAGTCATTTGGAAATGTTCATAGAGTAGCAGGCAAAAGGCACAGGTAACATACAAATGTAGCTACATGCTCAGAGAATGGGAATGGAGAGCCAGTTATTAACATAAACAATAGCAATTCTATATATAGCATTTCACCCTGAATGAGCACCTTAGAATGAGGGTGAGAGGGAGAGTCTGCTGATCCTTTGGGGTTTTCAGACTTCCCCTCTGAGTTATCCCTGGGGTGTACTTCTCTGCATATCATGTAATTTTAAAATTTAAAGGCAGGAGCTCTCAATATAGCATGGTTCCTGAACACACACTAAATAATTCCTCAGGTATTTAATTGAAGAAGTTGTCAGTATTTTCCAAATGGTGGAACTCAGAGGTCACTGAAGGGAATGCAAGGACAGTATTGCCAATTGAAATCTCTACCCGCTTTAGAAAAATGACAGCCAACAATTACTTATACTTGTCTATGTGCCAGATATGCTTCTAGAAGTTTTATAAACATTAGCTTATTTCATTTTCATGATAACAATATGAAAATATTTCACCTCCATTTTACAAGTGAGGAACCTGAAGTATTAATCCCTTGGGAGAGCTGGGATTTGGAATTAGAGGCTCTGGTGCTAGGTCCCAAGTCCATGACCACCACGATAGATTGATTCCATGTGAGACTAGGAGTTGACTCCCTCAGAGTACTATTAACACTGGAGGATGAAGAGGTGAGTAGGGTCATAATTGAAAAAAAAAAAAAGGTTTTTCTTCTCTTCTACCCTAGCCCTGTATCCTTGCCCATCTCTGCCTAGGGACTTCAGTCAGCCAGAGGGCAGGAAGTTCACAGGTAGAGCACTTTAGAGTAAGAGAAAAGAAGAAGCATGATGAAGAGGGGAACGATGTATAGAGCAGAATGGGGTTGGAAGCAGTTATTTGCACCCTGGCAGATTAGGAAGGGGTAGTCATAATGTTTACAGGGCAGTATTTCCCTGAATTTCCCTCAAAGTGTAATCTCTCTGCAGTCTCACATCTTTGCAATGACAAGAGTCCCAGTAGACAGTGCTCAGGATATAAGACATTGCATGGAAATAACTTCATCTTGACCACTCAACTTGTCAGTCAGTGTCTGGCCCTGCAGGAAACAGATTTGGTTGTCCCAGATGTCTGGGATGTCTCTGTAAACAAAACCTTCCCACTGTGAGACTTCCCCACAGCACAACTAATCACCATAAGGCAATTTTGCCGTAGAGGAGAAAAAGACTAACTGGGTGACCATTTGGCTGCCTTTCTCCAGTGACACATCAATTAACCAACTGGAATCAGCTTTAAGCTAGTTGTTAGTTTCTCCACCAGCAACATAAGAAACCATGAATTCTTATGTTCTAGTTATGGAAGAATTCAATCTGGCTTTGTGTTCTCTAATTTCAAATGCCCAGTGAATTTGATCACCAGAAATGTCCAATATAATGAATGAACAAAAACCTTGGAAGACAAGAGCATAGGTACAATCTGTAAAGGAAATCCAGCTCTTTGCACAGTTCATGAGGTCCTTTTGAATGTCTTGCTTTTATTTTCCATCTTTTTCTCTTTTATGACAGAATTGCCTTATGGCCAATGAGTACAACACAAAAACATTTGCTGTGAAATGAGTTGACAGAAAGACCTAGAATCACACAAACTAGCAGAGCTGAAACTCTGAAAAGAAATATGTGCCAAGGGAGAGAGGCACCCACAATCTTTCTTGGGCTCCTTCACCTCCACATGCTCAGTGATGCCTGGGTGGAGCGCCACCTCTGGCTTCCAGGGGCAACTGCTACTTGCAAACTGTTCACCTCTGAGACAACTCCCTGGGCCATTAAGCAGAAGCCTCACACATTGAGGGGTGCGGTAGGGAGAGATGAGACTTGAAGCAAACATTCTATAAGGCAAGGATGACCCAGAGAAAAATCTCTTGGGTGCTATAAAATAAGTAGGGGTTGGGGGAGTCCAATGAAAAGATATCGCCCATAGAGGGGGTGGCAAGAAATGATTTTGGGGGGAAGTAGTGCTTGCTACCTTTTAGGAGCGGTTTCATTCAGTGGCACGTGAAATGGATTCTAAGTCAGCAGGTTGTCTAGGGGAAGACTGAGATTCAAGCCCTAGTCTTGCCATTGAAAAGTTGTATATTCATGCTTTCCCCTCAGTTTTCCTTATCTGCAAAATGGGGCTAATGTATCCCCTGTCTCAATAAATTGCTTTGAAGATCAAAGCTAATAACACATAAAAGAGCTGTTTATAAATTTGTGGATGTTCACTGGGTATTAACCCGTTGTCACCCACTATTCCAACACTCCCCGATATTGTCACCTCATGCGCATGGCAATTCCATGCCATAGAAACTGAAGGTCAGTGGGGAAAGTGACCAGCCTAGGGGTACCGGAGTCACACTGAAAGCAGCTGGTCTCTCAAGACAAACTCTCCTCAGGGAGAATTACTGAGTTGCCTCCCTTCCCTCAGTCCTTATTAAAAAGGCACCCCACCCCTCCCCCCATCCCTTGCCACAGTGTAAAGCTAGGGATAAGAATCAGCAAGGCACAGTATTTATGTTTCAGTTCTGGTCAATGTTTTGCTCAGGTGTCTGGCTTCTCCTGCTAATCTTTCTGCAACAGCAGAGGTCAGAGCCAGATCAAATTCTCCCTCCTCTTCTCAGAAACTCCCATCCTTCTGGGTATCACAGTTCTGCACATGTATTCACTTGCACCTACTGTGCGCACACACACATCAGTGAACAGGTACATACATGCAAACTGCATGCAATGCAAATGTGCACACACTCAAACACTTTTACGCACCAAGTTTTTTGCTAGACACTTTCTTCTCTTAGTTCTCCCATCCACCTTGCAGGTAGATATCATCACCAAAGAGGAAACAGGATGGGTGAGGTTCAATATGATGCCGAGTTTAACACACAGCTTATTCACATCCAAGAGATCAGTCTGAATTAAAAAATCTGGCTTATAAAATTACATCTAACTTCCAACTTTTCTCTCATAATTTCTTCCTCTGATCTTTAAGGGGTTCTTATATGCAGCCCCCACACTCATTATCTAGTATATATGCTTTAAATTGGCATGGAATGACAAGACATTTCCCTGAGGAAAAACTAACACCACCAAGAAATGATTTTGCACCAAGCATGACCTTTGAGGGAGTCACAGTGTCCCCACAAAGTTGCTTTACCTGCACGCTATTCCTCCTGCACGCTTGCATGCTTGCCAGCCCTTAACTGTTTGCAGATAGGGTGGGAGATGGGGGTGCAGACTCCAAGGGCCAGCGGGTGGAATCCACTCAGCTCAGTGAACCTGAAGTTGTTCATTGCAGTGCTGGGGGAAGAATCCGAGGAATGCAGCCTGATGCCACTGCAGCTCCAGAGAGCCGGTCAGGTGACAGGCTGCGTCTCACCCAGCAGAGCTACCTTGGAGTGAAAAGGGCTGTTTCCTGGGGTGAAACATAAAGCCTGCTCCATGAAGTGGCTTTGCTTTCAGCAGAGAAAACAAAACCCCTCTGTTCATGAAAATCTATACTTTCTCCAGGAAGAATGGGGGGAAGAGTCACGAGGTCTCACCAGGAGCTCCAGCAGGCAGATGGACTAACAATTGGGGAGCGTTTCTCAGAGCTCAGGGGAGAGGAGGCACGGGGACATTGCCCTTGAATCCCCTCTCGAGATTTGCAGACCTAGTTCCACACAGGAGTATGTGTCCAGTGATACTCACAGGAAAGGATACTTTTGCAACAGCTCTAGGTTAATGTTGGAAGCTGATGGACTCAGGAAGTTGCTAATAATGCACACACGGTTTAGGTCACTTTATTTGCTGGGAGATGATTCATTAAAATCCACCTAAACCAGATCTCTCTAGTTCTTTAAAATATTACAGCAATACTCAAAGCGTTACCCTCTAATCTATTCACATGCCAGAGCAGAAACCCCTCCCTTTTAACAGTAACTGCATTTAAGAAAACATTTTAAACTATTCTCGTCTCTACTCCTAT